TCGACTGGCTAGACGCAGCGCAAAAAACAAAAGCCTAATTGTGTGTCATCAACATACATAGGTTGCAATTGAGCATGAAAACTACTTGCAGATGTTACATCTTGCCGCCTTCACACCTGGTTTGCAGCAGCCTACAAATTCCCAGGGCCTTTGCTGAAGTGCTGTCTTCATGCTAGAAACGGCGTTTCAACACTCCGTGGAGAGCACAATCGAGAAAAAGCAGCACCCTGCCTTACTCCCAAGATCCAAGGAGCCCTTCATCTGTTGAGCACTTTTGTATACAGGGAAAATGTAGTATCAATTCATCTATTTAGGTTCATCTGGGCAGGTGGTTTTCTCCCTTTTAACGTATCAGCACAAGCCGCATATGGGCCCTTTGGTTCTCATCCCCGCCACCAGAACTGGATCTGCCATTCTTCCTGTTAAAATCCTGAAATTCTTCCACTGGAAAATGTAAATTAAGAGGGCATGCAGAGGGTCAAGTGGGGAGGCCTCTGTTGGTGCAGACAAGTCTGGAGGAGACTCCTTAAGGATGCTGCTGTTGGGAATTCCATTCCACCCTTTGCTGCAGATATGTGGATTGTTGCATGTCACATGTCACAGATTGCTGGCGTGAGCAGAACTTCCGCTCTGTATTGCTTTTGTTTCAGTCTCTCTCCAAGAAGATGGCAAGGAGAGAAGCCATGTTTTCTTTGTCCTGATTTATGTATAATACAGTGGTACCTCGGGTTAAGAATTTACCGTATTTTTCACTCTATAAGACGCACCAGACCACAAGACGCACCTAGTTTTTGGAGGAGGAAAACAAGAAAAAAAATATTCTGAATCTCAGAAGCCAGCAAGAGGGATTGCTGCGCAGCGATCCCTCTTGCTATTCTGGCTTCTGGGATAGCTGTGCAGCCTGCATTCGCTCCATAAGACACACACACATTTCCCCTTACTTTTTAGGAGGGAAAAAGTGAGTCTTATAGAGCAAAAAAATACAGCAATTCATTCTGGAGGTCTGTTCTTAACCTGAAACTATTCTTAACCTGAGGTACCACTTTAGCTAATGGGGCCTCCTGCTGCCGCCATGCTGCCCCCACACAATTTCTGTTCTCATCCTGAAGCAAAGTTCTTAACCCGAGGTACTATTTCTGGGGTAGCGGAGTCTGTAACTGTCAGTGTTTGTAAAAAGCAAAAAAGGTTCTGACCTCCCTGTGTCGCCTCAGCCTGGTCCTCGGACCCTTGTCGGCATAAAAGAGTCCACGAGAAAAATATCCTTGCAGAGTACTTTCTGCTTTTATTATTAAAAGTCTTTCTGCAAAAGCGACTGACCAGCTTTCACTAACAAACCAACCAACGCAACCAACAAACTAACATTTCTCACTCTATATATACAACCCGGTGCAGGCCGCTGACTCATGCTGACCCAGCTTTTTTAAGCATTAAAGAAACAGTGGCCATTTTAGCAGTGACAGTAACCTGAAATGTCTGTAACCTGAAGCATATGTACCCCGACGTACCACTGTAAATGCGTAGTTTAGTATCATGTCCACACCTCAAGCCTCATCTGCTGTGCAGTTTACACTGCTGAGTAATGTGTGCTCAAGCCTGCTCTGCAGCTTGAGTCATAGATGCACGTCGGAGACGATGACTGATGGATCTCTGCAGCGGCAAGGCTGAGAGGGGAGACACTCCAGCTGGGGCCAAGCCAGCTGGCTTTTCATCCCCCGGTTCCGACAGCTGGGGACATCACCTCTAGGTGAAAATGTTTCTGTGAATGCAGAATAAAAGCCAAGGAGGAACCACTCACATTCCCTAATGCCTCATCAGACTGCTGATTCTCCTAGTCTAGTGGAGGAGAAGCTGCATTCATGGAAGCCATGGGATTATCTGGAAGCATCCTTTGGCCGTCCCTAATGAGAATACCAGAATCTGCCAATCCTGGTTTCTCTCTTTCCCATTTCCCCCGTTCTTCACATTTCTACATATTTGTGGATTTTCTTTTAAAGTGCTGATGGAAATTTGTCAGCATTTTAGTGCAAATTTCTCCAGATATAGAAATTTGGAAATGAGGCTTTGCCTAATGTATACATTTTTGCAATTTCTCCCGATGTTAAGTGCATTATATTTCATGTTTACAACTATATGCATTTTATGCACACTTTCCCCTAACACACACATTTTGTACAAATTATTTGGTTGGAGAAGTGAATCACACAAGATGGATACAGTGGTGCCCCGCAAGACGAACGCCTCGCAAGACGGAAAACCCGCTAGACGAAAGGGTTTTCCGTTTTGGAGGCGCTTCGCAAAACGAATTTCCCTATGGGCTTCCTTCGCAAGACGAAGCCCATAGGGAAATCTCCAGGACAGCGGGGAAGCGCAGCGCGTCTTCCCCACTGTCCTCGGACCTCCTCCGAAGCCTGGCGGTGGGGCGGAGAGACCTCCTCCCGCCGCCAGCCTTCGGAAGGCTGCTCTGAAGCCTGGCGGTGGGGCGGAGACACCTCCTCCCGTCGCCAGCCTTCGGAAGGATGCTCCGAAGCCTGGCGGTGGGGCGGAGAGACCTTCTCCCCGCGCCAGCCTTCAGAAGGCTGCTCCGAAGGCTGGCGGCGGGAGGTCTCTCTGGATCCTCAGGATCTAGCAATGGGTAATAAAGTTTCTTGCAACACAGTTTGCCCATTTCTCTCCATCTTCCTGCAAAGCCACAGTGGTTGTGGGGATGGATGAGAGACAACACACAGATCACAAAGGGTGGTGTTTTATATGAACAATCTTTTCCTTAGGATACTCAGGAATTCTTTGTAACTTGCAAATAAGTTGGTGTGGAAAGGGTGCTTTGAATGCTGCAAGTCTGAAAACCTTTACTCCACTGTGTTGCACTTGGCTCTGCTAAACCCATGTCAGAGCCTCCCCTGTGTTTTCTGCCATGTTATCAGAAAAATAAGTACTGTAAGCTTCCTAGCTGAAAAAACAAGGGGAAAGAGCTTTCAACTATTCTTCACAAGCTGCTATTGCAAAATAAAGTAGCCCTCTCTCCTGGCATCCAAAATATGACCACCCAAAATATGTATGTGCATTATGTATCTGGGAACCATACAGAGTATATAAAAAAACTGGAAAAAGTGTGAGCAAAGCATCCTGAAGGCACATATGCCAGGAGGCAGATAAGCTTCCTTGACCCTGTTAAGTATCCCTCTAGGAGCTAGAGGGACCCCTGGCTGGCAAAGTGTCAAGGCCAGTTAGCAGATGGGCAAGTTCAGCAGCAGGGTGAAGAGGCCACTCTGCCCAACAAAATCCTAATCCCAAAAACAATTATGGCAGTAGAAAGCCAACAGGGTGTGGGCAGGGGCAGCCCGGGATGTTTTGCTGCTGTAAGCAAAATGCCCCACCACTGCCCTCGCAGATCTGGGCCCCCTCCCTGCCCCTGATGATGAACACAGAGTTTGGGAAGTTTAGGAAACTGCAGAATTTGTTGGGGTTTTTAAAGGCTATATTCTCTGCCATCAACAATATCAGCAGCTCTTTTCTGAACAGAATCTGGGTGGCCAACAATTAAGGCAAGAGCTTTGCTCAGTTAAAGTATTTATATATATTTAAAAATACTACTATGCCTATTGAGTGTTTTCTTGCTCTGTGCTATATGGAATTGGGCAATAGCCAACTCTGGGAAGCAGCTTATCAATTTGTTTTTGACTATTATCATTTTCCAGAACTGAGCTCTGCTTTGACCTTGAACAGATGTCAACTAAGAGGTTGTCTCTTCTGGGTAGACTCCAGAAGGGACCTGCAACCCATTAGAAACACCACTTTCCCCCCCTTGGTATCCAATCTTGAAAACAGAGCATTTCATAGCTAATTAGCTGATCAAAATCACCAGCTTCCCTAAGAAATGCCTTTAGTGAGCTGCGTTTCCAAATGATGCCCACTGCAGTCTTGAATGGCTGCTACAAGGTCCTGTATGTAGACAGACTTTGCATTTGTGGTCAACCTCAGTTGGAAGACATCACACATTATCTGTAAGTGTGCTGGAGTGAACACAGGTTTCAGAAAGCAGTACAGTGGTACCTCGGGTTACATACGCTTCAGGTTACAGACTCCGCTAACCCAGAAATAGTACCTCGGGTTAAGAACTTTGCTTCAGGGTGAGAACAGAAATCGTGCTCCGGCAGCGCGGCAGCAGCAGGAGGCCCCATTAGCTGAAGTGGTGCTTCAGGTTAAGAACAGTTTCAGGTTAAGAACGGACCTCCGGAACGAATTAACTACTTAACCCGAGATACCACTGTAGCTATATCGCTTTCTGAAGCCCTTGTTCACTCCACCAGGCCGGCACACCCCAGCAGAAACCGTCTGTTTCTTTGGAGTGACAATAATACCTTCTTGACACACAAAGTGGCACTCTATGCACTGGCTGCAAAAACAAAACCAGGAAAAAGGAGTTAGATAACATCACTATAAATTGTTGTGGTGATTCAGGAGTTCTCTTTGAAATCAAGCTAGATTTGGCTTTGTTGGTGTCTCTGGTAACCTCTCTTACATAATAGATGCTGGCTCATCGATGGTGGATGTTGTTTTATTGGTACAGTGCTGCAGGTTTAGTATGGACTTTGGCTAGAATAATAAACTTATACAGCGGTACCTCAGGTTAAGAACTTAATTTGTTCCAGAGGTCCGTTCTTAACCTGAATCTGTTCTTAGCCTGAGGTACCACTTTAGCTAATGGGGCCTTCCGTTGCTGCTGCTGCGCCGCCGTGCGATTTCTGTTCTCATCCTGAAGCAAAGTTCTTAACCCGAGGTACTATTTCTGGGTTAGTGGAGTCTGTAACCTGAAGCGTCTGTAACCTGAGTACCACTGTATTGTATTGCATTATCTCACAGGGGAGGTCTTCCTCACCCGGGCTGCCATTGCTGATGTCTCTCACTGTTTTGGCTCCTAGAGGCAGATGCAAGGGCCGGGGGGGCGGGTGGAGTTTATTACCCATGCAAATATACTTCCTACAAGAACGGCACATGTGAGGTTTCTAATACTGAAAGTGAATTTTATTATTAAGTGCTTGAAATTACAAATTCAACTTTCTGAATACACTGTAGCTGAAGATCAGATCCAACATTAGCATCCAACACAAAACAGAAAGCTGCTTTACAGGAGTAAGCTGCATGATGTACGATGCTTCCTAACGAAACAGAATCCTGGAGCCCTAATGTTTACTGCTTGATTCCAACAAATCTTTTGCTTCATTGATTTTCGTTGCCAAGTACGGAGAGCCACCTAAATAAAGAGAAGAGAGAATAAAATGAAGACTACATAATGCTGGATTTAACAATAAGCCTGCTCCGCAGTTATGGAAAGTAAATTTCACATGTCAACTCACCAAGTTTCATTAACATGAAATTGACACAAGTATCACAATGAACCACAATCCTAAGGGCAATTAAACTGCTTTTTCTGCGCAATTCTATCTCTGTCTACTTGGAAATAAATTCCATTAGAGTCCACTAGGGTTCAACTTACTCCCAGGTATAGTATAGCATATGACACAAGACAACTGACTTTCCTAAATCTATTGACTGGCTAATGTCTCGTTTTGTTAGGCAATGGGTTCTCTGGAATATCCACAAGCAAAATTTTGGAGTGTTGCAGTTCAGAGCCTTCTCAGTGGTGGCACACCATTTGTGAAACCCTTCCCAGTGAGCCCTACCTGGTGCCAACACACTTTCAGCACCAGACAAGATGTTGTGTTTTCCCAGGCTTCTTAATAAGCTGCTTGTGTTTTGTCTTAGCCGACCCGGAACTTCTGCTGAAGAGCAATATAGACATCTTTTGAATGAATGAATGAATGAATGAATGAATGAACGAATGAAGTGAAGCACTGATTTCTTCAAAGTCATTCCAGTCCAGTGCTGGGCTTTGAAGTCTATGTCAGGGCTGAGGAACATTTAGAACCCAGGGGCCGTATTCTCTCATGGGCAGCCTTTCAGGGGCCGCATGCCATGGATGAGGCTCTTCACCAGGCCCTGAAGTTCCCCACTCCTGACCTAGAGGCAAGGAAACACAGCTCTCCATCATAAGAAAGTTAGGATTGCTTTCCCAAGATCAATTCCACAAGGACAGATATATCGTTGTGCAGTAACAGCATCAAATCCTCAGACCACAGGCAGATTAAGGTACCGCACCATGTTTAATTTATTTTTGACAGCATGCTTTGAAGGAAACTCCAGCAGGAATATTTTAACGTAGAATCATTAGGTGTGCACTGCAAACATGGCCCATTTTTCAGTTAAGGCACAGGCATACCAGCCAAATGCGTCACATTAATGCTGTTAGGCACAGAATACTGCCTTCTTCTTCCCTGTCCTCAACGCTGCCACTGCTTTCCAGTCCATCTAACAATCTGATTACAGTTCAGCAGCCTCGATGTTTGTTTTTTTCACTCTCCTCGAGTGCCAACCATCTGCCTCCTGCCACTGAAAATAACAACCAAAGGTCTGTTGTCAGGAGCTCACCGTGCAGCAACAAACACCTAGATGTTTTTCTGGGACAATATGCTTTCCACTGCAGAACGTTACAAACAACCTTTTCTAAGCATCTGCTCGGAGGAATCACATACAATGGAAATTCCAACTACAGATCACCATGCTATGAGAACCCTGCACTTAGTTCCCTTCTTTTTATAGTTTTTAATCCATGTGCTGACACCTCTGCATTTAGGGAAGGAGCAAAGTTGTGCAATGCTGCATGCATATAGGCCCCTCCATAGAATAAACACCATCTGAAGCATGATGCCGCAGGATACATGAAACCTTGCATGGGCAAAGACATTTTGTACACCCCACATCTTGTATAACATTATGTTAGCATCAGAGAAGCAGGAAGATAAGTGGGAAAGATACAAGACACTCTGCAGCACTTTCACAGCAGGAATCTGAGCATGCACACAACAAAATCCTAACATGCATACTGAAGTGAAGTCCATAGTGCGTTTACACCATTTAACAGGAACAAAAAAACCCCCACAAATAAATTAGTACATGTCGACAGGATACAGCTTCTCAAAGTGAGGCGTCTAGATCACCTTTGGTTAATGTGGGGAGGGAGAGGGAGGGAGAAAATTGGGCAGATGTTGCTATACAGGTGGGCTAAGGGAAAGAAGAGAAAAACAAGTGAAAGCCTATACCACTAGATACCACAACTGTGGTAATTCCACAGTTTATAGGGATATTAAATAGTAACGGAGAACAAGATTTATTGGCTTTACTTCTTAGATAGCAGAAATCCAAATTTACTAACTTTGGACCACAATAAGTTGGGCCTTCTTTAACCCACAATCGTTCAAAAACCTCGAGAAAAAGGCCTAGACTAAATTTTTCTCCATCTCTCTCAACCAATGACTAACGAAAGAGTCTGAGATCAACAGGGAGAGAGAACTACCATGAGATGCTAAGAAATGTAAATATAGCTACCATTGGATAAATAGCTGCCTTTCCCACACAAGGAGGTAACTCCAGTAACTTCCTAAGGAAAACAGACTGAACCCTTTCTACTTGGGAATTAAACCTTAAGATACAAGGAAGGAAACTATGCTGTGGTGAGATGGCAGTGGGGCATCCTATGGGTAAAAGGAGAACTCTGAAGCCCCAAACTCTGAAGAGGGGCAGGGAGTGCTGCATTGCACATGCTCCTGATAAGGATCTCGACAAACAGGAACAGAAATACCTGGTAGATAACAAACATATCGTGGAATACGGGTGTAACAGCAACAACACTTGTGATTCTTTGATACTGTATTATGATCTCCCATCAGGAGATTTTACCGTAGTCACTAATCAATATATTTTTATCTGTGTCTAGGAGCGTGTAAATATGTACGCCAGAAACTTGCCCCAACGTTTATTCAGGTATATAATGCCTGAATACACAATATTACTCCGCCAGGGCAACGCTGTAAATTGGCTGGCCTCAAATCTCATTGCTGAAAGTGCAGTAACTGGGAGAATCCCAAGCAGATGATGTTCCTTATCTGTGTTAGCCTTGGAATCACTAAAGAGCAGCATATAGCTTACACAGCATAGAGATTATTACCACAGCCTCTCAAAATGTCCCATATTACAACTGGCTATAATACGGCCTCCGTCAGAGGATAATAGGCATGGAGACAGAGCAAAAATACAAACTAGGCCACAGATATGAAAACATGATATTATCTACATTTGTCAGCTGTGTATTTTCAACTCTTCTAATATTTGCATCTGTTATTTCACCCGTTGTGATTGCTTTTCCAATTTTTCAAAGCAAACCTCCATTAAGGAAATTGGCATTGCGCAAGACATTGTACCTGCAGCATTCCCACGGCTGCTCTTGGAGCTGCCACGGCTTCTGCTGCTGACAATGATTGATGTCTAGGAAGTTGACTGATGCCAGCAGAAGTGTCATAGTCAAGGCCCAGCCCCTAAAAATTATCAGAATGAGCTTGACCCCCTGTGGGAAACTGGAATGGAAAACTCCCATGAAGGTCGCTTGGACAACTAAAACTTCAAGCTGGGCCAAGAGATCTGATATATGTCCAGCCCTTTTATGTCCTGGAATGATGGATGGGCTGGATGTAACGGAAGGAAGGATTGTGCCCGGTGCTGTCTCAAAAGCATTCTGCACATATGTAAGTGGGTGCTGGGGAGCTATTAGAGTTTTGTGCTATAGCAACTCCCCCTTCACTGCAGCTGAACTGCAAACCTCTTCCCTTTGCCCGTGAATCTCCAAGGTGTTAAGCAGCAGTGTTTTGACCACAGAATTACACTTCTTTGTTTGCCTCCAAATACGTTTTCTTCCATCATTGTCTCGTTCCTGCATCTACAGAGTAAATCCAATTTTATTGATTTATTTAATGAATAAATTACTAGTAAAAAGAGGGGCAGGGAGAAATAAGAAATGGCGTGCTCCACACCTTTCACCTTAATGAGGTCAGAATTAATTTTATACTCCTGAAATGAGAAGGAATAAACTATAAATCTGTCAACGAGATATAAACGTCTTCACTTCCCCCCTTTTGGCTTTTTAAATACTGTGCAACTCTATACCATCTGTTGTATCAAAGTACAAACAGCAACGAACATATGGGCTTTCCTTCTCAACCAGCTGTAGTGTAGTTAAAGTTATAATAAGAGCTTTTTGGGGAGATACATACATTAAAAACCTGGCTAGTTAAAACATCTGTGCCTGGTTTTATAGTTTTTAAGAGCGCTAAAATCTAGTACATACATTTGTATGACATTCTGCTCAAAAATGTGTTTGTCTATTTATGGCTGCACATACTCTGTTCATATAGACATGGATTTTTGCAGCCTCATGGTTAATGTTTCCCCTTCTTCAAAAGTGAGCTACTTCACACAGTGGTTCTTCATGCTATGTTTGACAGCTACTTAGTTTGTGATCAAGTAAATGACCCCAAAGGCAGCTATACATTCCTTCCTTTGGATCACAGAGACCGGATGCAAATCTGTCTCATACTGCAGGCAACACTTCCAAGATATGTCTTGAAATGCACTGCAGTGAATTTGTGAAGTTAGTGATTAGCGTTTTGCTTCATACACATGTGAAGAGAGAAGGTCTGGCAGCACGTTACCTATCAACTAATATTTATGAAACGCAAAGCTTACCTTTATCAGGGTGATTCAAAAGCATGATTCGTCTGTGAGCATTTCTAATCTTGGCCTTCCCAGCGGATGGACTGTAAAGATAAATTAAGAGTGTTTACCATAAATAAAGATTCTTGAGGGCTCTAAATTAGCAAAATTGTTTTCTTCTGATAAACAACATCTAGAGGTAGTTACAGGTAGGTAGCCGTGTTGGCTGCCGTAGTCGAAACAAAAAAAAATAAATCCTTCCAGTAGCACCTTAGAGACCAACTAAGTTTGTTCTTGGTATGAGCTTTCATGTGCATGCACACTTCTTCAGATCCGAAGAAGTGTGCATGCACACGAAAGCTCATACCAATAACAATCTTAGTTGGTCTCTAAGGTGCTACTGGAAGGAATTTTTTAAATTTTGTTTCAACATCTAGAGGTATTTGCCATCTGGTGGGGAAGCGACAGTATTACATCCTTGAAGAATGAAGTTTCAAAGTAATCCATAGCTTTGCGTTTTGGGGATCTTTTGAGAGTGGTCTACACACATTTACACATGAGTATTCACCTGTGCTGATCAGTGGTACAAGACACCTGCAAGCAGTGCCAACAGTCAAAACACACGGCACTGACAGAAAGTGTCTTGCTGGAGCATGAGATGGAGAAATCCCCTCCTAGTGGTGCAGCAATAAAACTGCTAGCACATTTGCAAAGCTAAGCAGGGTTTCAAATTGGATGGGGGACCGCGTGTTGAGATTCCTGCATTGCAGAGGGTTGGACCAGACGACCCTCGGGATGCTTTCCAACTCTTACCATTCAGTGGAGAGAGTGGACTATCAAATCAGGATATGAGTACATTTTCTTCCCAACAGGTCCACCACCCTGGCCGCTGGTGTGTTGCAGCAGCCCTGTTGGGAAGGGCGATGAATATCCAGCCCAGAGATCTATGGAAGGGCCTCATCCCCTTTGTCTGTTGTTTGGATAGCTGCTGTTTGTGGGGGGCAACTGGTGTGTCCTCTTCAGTGAGGCCATCACAAAGTTTACTCCCATCTGTTTGTCAGAGCTCATGTTTGCGGAAGAGTAGCCTGGCTGGGGATGCGGGTGGCGCAGTGGGTTAAACCACAGAGCCTAGGGCTTTCCGATCATAAGGTCAGCGGTTCGAATCCCCGCAACGGGGTGAGCTCCCGTTGCTCAGTCCCTGTTCCTGCCAACCTAGCAGTTTGAAAGCACCTCAAAGTGCAAGTAGATAAATAGGTACCGCTCCGGCGGGAAGGTAAACGGCGTTTCCGTGCGCTGCTCTGGTTCGCCAGAAGCGGCTTGGTCATGCTGGCCACATGACCTGGAAGCTGTACGCCGGCTCCCTCGGCCAGTAAAGCGAGATGAGCGCCGCAACCCCAGAATCGGTCACAACCTGCCTTGTGAATTTCAGGGAAAATCCTTTACCTTTAGCCTGGCTGGGAGTAGGGCTGACGCCCACAAATCCAGGTCTACATGCCTGGTGTGTGGGTGACTGAGTACTTGTTATAATGTAGTTCCGCTTGTAGGCATTGGGCCATGTAGTTTAATGAACTGAGCAGAGTGAATGATCATGGGCCTGGGGGAGGAAGTTGGGAGGCTGCTTGGCAGGGCTGGTCTATCAGGTAAAATATTGAGGGGTGGGAGGGGGAGGGAATGGGTCACATGTGCTGCTGGAAGGAGGAAATGTCCCCAAATGACTGGTTGAACCATACAGAGGGTACACTCTTAGTCTACACATGACTCCTTCTGACTAGCTCATGTGCACAAAGCATAGATTTTAAGCCATCCAAGTTCTGAATCATGTAAAATTAAACGTGCAAAACTGCAGAAGTATAACTGAATGCGCCACTTAAAACTGTTTTTAATACGGGAGAATTAGTACCCAAATTTGCTAATTTCCCCCTTCCATCTTCATCCTTTTTGTACTGTCCAATTTGGTATAAGCCACTTTTTTATTTTGTATGCTATTTTGAATTTATTGGCAGAGGTATACAAGTATATAAATGTAAATAAATACCAAGAGTTCTTTCAACACAGCAAACTGGGTAATTTTTGAAGGCCACTTCTTTTAGTGTTTTTTATCTTTAATAAAACTACTGGATAAGATGGGCCTACCCCACATTTCACACCACTTTTCTTTCAGGCTTTGGCACTGAATAGATTCTGTTTCAATGCAAAACACTTACCTTGTGCCTAAAATAAGACTAGCTTCTCGATGATTCATTTTCTGTTCGAATCCGCCTTTATAATAGGAAGAAAGATTCTGTATGGGAGAGACAAGATGAAGTAATTTGATCTGTGTGTGAGGTATAATGACCTTGATTCAATTTTGTAGCTAGGGCAAAAAGTGGCAGCTAGGCATCTCAACGTTTTGTCATGCTGCAGTCGCACGGCATTGCCCTCAAACGAGCTGCGCTGCCTACCAATAACCGATTGGGCCAAGTTTAAGGTTTTGGTCCTCACCTGTAAAGCCCTAACACAGGCATAGGCAACCTCGGCCCTCCAGATGTATTGGGACTACAACTCCCATGATCCCTAGCTAACAGGACCAGTGGTCAGGGATCATGGGAATTGTAGTCCCAAAACTTCTGGAGGGCTGAGGTTGCCTATGCCTGCCCTAACAGTTTGGGAGCAGGTGATGTAAGGGAGCATCTTCACCTCTGTTGTACTATTCAAGTGTTAAAGTCAGAGGAAGAGGCTTTTCGGTGATGGCACCCTTCTTAATAAATCACCTCCCCTCTGAGCTCAGGCAGGTGCCAACACTGATGAAGTTTTGATGCCTACTAAGAATATATCTGTGTTCCCAGGACTTTACAAGTGTTTAGTTCCAACAGACTGTTTATGTTTCAGCTCTGCCCTGTGTATATTGACTTTAATGTGAATAGTATATTTTATAAATGTGTTGTTACTCTGCCTCCAGACTGATGTGGCAAGTGGTATGGAATCATAGTTAGAAGGAACCCCAAGAGTCATCTAGTCCAGTGTTTCCCAACCTTGTGCCTCCAGCTGTTTTTGAACTACAACTCCCATCATCCCTGACTAGCAAGACCAGTGGCAAGGGATGATGGGAATTGTAGTCCAAAAACAGCTGGAGGCACAAGGTTGGGAAACACTGATCTAGTCCAACCCTTTGCAATGCAGGAATCTCAACTAAAGCATCTCTGACAGATGGCCATCCAACCTCTGCTTTAAAAAGATCAGATTTGGTTTTGAAATATGATCAATGGAACAAGACTTTTGCTGTTGCTAGAGGAGATAAAATCATATTGTATCTACTGTAAAGTAGTCATATTTGACACAATAGCTGAGAGAAAAAAGTAAGTCATAAGGTCTCTTTGTAGTTTTCAAAAATGATTCTTAACTCCTAAGTCCTAAAGTATTAGTAGGGTGCTCTTTCCTATGTTTTGTGTGATTCTGAATATACTGAACTTCTATTTAAAGCTGTAGCTTTAATATTGATCAAAGTCCCTTTGAATCTAATTTCATTTGCATTGAGGGATCAAAAGATTTCCTCCAAGCGAACTAGTTGATCTGGAACCTGATTTATACTGACTAAAACTGGAAGGATGCACTTATTCGCTCTGTAGAAATGCATAGGAATTACGCATAGTAATGGTTTACTATCTCAATCCATTATTTGAATGCACAATTTTTAAAAAGATATGATTGGCAAGACCTAGGGAAAACATGTGTGCCCAGAACCAAAAGAAAGGGGGAAAGTTAATATGGAAGACATGAAAGGGATAGTTGAACTAAAATGTTCATTTTTCTTAAAACTTAATTCTGCTTTTTACGCCTGTCCTCTTGCCTTTTCTAAACAAGCTTCTTAAAATTGGCTATTGCCTGCAAGACTCAAGGAGATACTGTCATGCTCATCTGCCCTAGACCCTTTGGCTCAATGCTACATGAGGTATAAGTGGGATTTGACAGAAGAAAGCTAACTACTTTGGATTCTAGTGAAGGACAAGTAGGCTGGCTGCTTGCCTTGCACCCCCAGGTTTCACTTCCACCCAGGACTGGAGGAAATGTAAAGGAAATGTGGTAACCATATACCTGAGAGTCCCTTGACTGCCTGGCCAACCCAGACTTACAGCCATGGTGGGACAGGAAATGAATGAGTCCCTGTTCTGTTATTGTAGTCATCACCTAGTTGGGTCAGGGTTAGGTATACTTATCCTGCAACGTTATCTCTGTCTCTCTCAAGCTTCTAATCTCACTAGAGAGACCTGAGCTCTAAACTTACAGCGGCTGAAATTTTCCTTGCTGTTTCTGTGATTACTTGTTCTAGTGGTTTCCAGAGCTGGAATGCATAACGACCTATAAAATATTGAAACAAAAGGCAATTTAACATCTGTTCATCTGCTAAGCAAGCATGCAGCAACAGCAATTTCTGCAAGAAAACAGAGAAGAACCCAATTTTTCATCTCATTTGTCTGAAGGTCCAAATTGTTGCCCTTTCCTGATTCAAAACGTTCCCTGAGTGGCTGCTTTTGGAGGCAAGCCCAGCAATGCGCCACGATGAGCTGGCAGGCATATCTCCCATTTATAGCATCACCAGGAAAGCTGTCTTTTAAGAGAATCATTAGGAATAGCAAAATTCTTAGGTTAATAAGCAAGTCTTTTATGAACCTGCCCTGTGAATTTCAGGGGAAATCTTTCTACTCAAATTTATTTCCTTGGTCTGGAAGCCCCCCTGCTTAGGATACTGGAGAGTCACTGGTAGCTAGAGTAAGCAATCCAGGGCTCAGCGGGTCCATTATAAATATAGAAAGTATAAAATATTACAATATAAAAAGAAGTTCAAGTCCTTTTCTCATTAAAACACATTCCATTACTATTCAGTTTGTCTTAAGAAATGCAGTAATGGGTGACACATTTGTTTCTAAACACACACACACACACACACACACACACACACACTTACCAGCAAAAGCAATGGCTGCAACACCAAGGCCAATACTTATCATAGATCGAGCCTGTTTAAAATAATAACATAATACAATTATATAGGAATGCATTAAGTTGCAACTAGTCAAGCTGGCAATATATATACCAAACAGTGGAGGAAAATACAAAAGGAGTCCATGTAATTTTAAATATTGACACCAGATTTCTAGGTGTCAATATTTAGTATTTTAATATGTTAATATGTTTTCTAAGGCACAGTACATACAGCCCTGCCCATAGCTCAATAGGCAACTTCCTTTCCTTTCCTCACAAAATCTTCTCTGCAGCACTATCTCATGCCTGATGTAACTGGATTTTCAGCAGACTGAACCACACCTCTCGCTTCCAGCCACTGTTAGAAACTTCCCAGGCGCCAGACGCTTTTTGCGACTGACACGGGTCCAACTGGGACTACGTGGAGATCTCTGGCTTCCAGGTTGGCGACAGACATCTCCCTCTGGCTGGCCTCTCCAGCTTTCTTAAGTAGGTCAGCAGCAGAGCTTATTTATTGCATTTATATCTCACCTTTTTCTCCAAGGAATACAGTGGTACCTCGGGTTACATACGCTTCAGGTTACATACGCTTCAGGTTACAGACTCCGCTAACCCAGAAATAGTGCTTCAGGTTAAGAACTTTGCTTCAGGATAAGAACAGAAATCGGGCTCCAGCGGCAGCAGGAGGCCCCATTGGCTAAAGTGGTGCTTCAGGTTAAGAACAGTTTCAGGTTAATTTGTTATTATAATTATATTTTTATATAATAATATATAATTATTATATTTAATAATATAATATTATTAAATTAATTTATTTTAAATTCAATTCAATTATTAAATAAAATAAAAATAATATAAAATAAATATATAATAATATACCTTACATAATATATAATATAATAATAATATAAAATTACTATACTTATAATTCAGGTTAATCCGACCTCTGGAACGAATTAAGTACTTAACCCGAGGTACCTCTGTACATGGTCGCCCCCCCGCCCCACTTAATCCTTACAAGAACCCTGAAAGGTCGGCTAAGAGGTTGCTACTGACTCTTAAGTCATAGCTGTCAACTTTTCCCTTTTTTAAAGGGAAATCCCCATATTCCGAATAGGATTCCTCGCAAGAGAAGGGAAAAGTTGACAGCTATGCTCTAAGGTCACCCAGTGAGCTTCATGACAGAATGGGGGTTTGAACCCTGATCTCCTCGTCCGACACTCTCACCATTACACCCCACTGCCTCCCAATAATCCTTCTGCTATGGAGCAGCTATATAAACTGAGCAGGTAAATAAATATGGGGAAAGCAAAATGTCACTTTGTGAAAGATCTGAAATATTTCCCTTGAAGCTTGAATTTGTTTTATTCCAGATTGCTCTATTTGATGTTTTAATGTGTTGGAAACCACGGTGATATTTTTTTCTTTAAAATATAAAGCAGTATAGAAACCTAGAAACGAATGATAAATTTCACAGTTTAAAAAAAAGCGCTTGGACATTACACCGTGGCAACTGCAACCTAGGTTTAAGGCACCATTTGGCATTTAGCTTATACACCTGAGTTTCTAACACTTTCCAGCAATTTCCATACTTTGGGAAACATGGAACCATGACTGTTTATTACCAAGATTCTACACGTTTTATTTTACTTTCAGACCACTCTTCAACCTGCATATCACAAAATATAAACATGAGATTTAACAGGATTAAAAACACTGCATCCAACCATTAAAAATAAGCATGCTTAGGGTTGCACACATACCCAATGCCTGGGGTGAAAATATGTTTTAAGCTGCCACTGAAAAATCATTGATGAGGGAGAAAATTGTACCTCCAAAATGGTGGAACATCTACATATGAGGTGCCACCATAAAGAAGTCCGTATCCTGAATTACCATAATATCAGCTATACCCATTGGTAGGATACGGCTTTCCCCTGAAGATAGCAAGGCTTGGATTGGCTGATACAGGGAGAGGCATTGACGTACAGTCGTACCTTGGTTGATGAACAAAATGCGTTCCGGGAGTCCGTTCAACTCCTGGAACCATTCAAAAATCAAGGTGAGGTTTCCGATTGGCTGCAGGAAATTCCTGCAGCCAATTGGAAGCCACGGAAGCTGCATTGGACGTTCAGCTTCCGAAAATTGTTCAAAAACCAGAAGACTCACTTCCGGTTTTTGAACATTTGAAAGCTAAAACGTTTGGCAACTAAGCCGTTCCTCAAGCAAGGTATGACTGTACTTTGTTTCTCAACAAACCAGCAAATGTAATAGTTGCAACACCAACACCAGTGGTGATGAAGTCGTTCAGGGCTTTATACATTAAGATCAACACCCTGAATTGGCCAGTGCAGCTCCTGAAGAGTCCCGTTTGTTGCACTGCTCAAACCACTTGTGGCTGCAATCTGCACCAGCTGCAGCTTCCAGACCCTATTCCAGGATAGGTCCACATAGACTGTGTTAAGAGTCACCTAGCTTGGAGGTTATTAAGCCATGAATAACTGCAGCCACGTTACTCTAGTCCAGGAAGGGCTATAGCTGGCAAGCCTGATGCAGCAAGAAATAGGCCCTTCAGTACCAAATCCATCTGGGTCTGAAATAACAAAGCCTCCCATTTTCAAGTTCAGTCCTGTTATTTCAAGGGGAGCACAACTGTATCAAGAACACTATACTACTGCAATGCAGTGTGCTCTATATGGGGCTGCCCTTGAGGCTACTGCAAAATTCAACAGCTTGACTGCCCACTGGGGCAGTATACAGTGGTACCTCGGGTTAAGAACTTAATTCGTTCTGGAGGTCTGTTCTTAACCTGAAACTGTTCTTAACCTGAAGCACCACTTTAGCTAATGGGGCCCCTGCTGCCGTTGCGCTGCCGCCGCACGATTTCTGTTTTCATCCTGAAGCAAAGTTCTTAACCCGAGGTAATATTTCTGGGTTAGCGGAGTCTGTAACCTGAAGCGTATGTAACCCGAGGTACCACTGTATCACCATCGTATTATGGTGCTACTGACAGAATTGCTTTGGCTGTCCATTCTCTACCAGACTAGTTTCAAGGTGCTGTTACTGGTGTACAAAGCCCTACATGGCCCATGACCATGCTAATATCTACAAGATGGGTCGACTATGTAGGGGGTAAGACCATCACCACATTCCACAGGAGAGAGTACCCTGTAGTTCCAACCCATTAGGAGCGCCATTGCACACAATTGCACACAATGCTGGAACGGGGCCTTTAGTGCAGCCGCAACCTCCTTTTGGCACCTGCTAAAGACATTCCTCTTTCAACAAGCCTTCTAAATGAAGATCTTTTCCCTAGTTGCTGTCTGCACTGGATTTGAAGTGATTTTATGTATGTGCTGTTATTTTAAACTGTATCGTTTTTTAAAATTGATCTTATATGCAGTTGACCCACCATCAAAGGCAAAATCTTGCAAAGTCAGGAATCCCCAGAACTTAAAGGTCTACTGCCAGTAAGAACTATAAAACCATTTATGTATCCCCAGTGGTGTTTCCACAAACTGCAGTATGAGAAATCTTGCTATAAACATGGATTCAATGAGAAATGCAAGGTCACATTTAAAACAATTTTTAAAGTGTTCAATGACAGCAAGACCCAGCCCAAATCCTATAGCACTATTCAATTATTTTCTTGCCATATGTCTAATTTCTGCATCGCTTGCTTCTGCATAAAGAGATTTAAGGTTTTTGTATCATCCACACATACAGTTGCTGAACATTTACAGCTGCATATTCTTGCATGGCAGGAGAATGGACTAGATGATCCTAGATGATCCTCAGGGTCCCTTCCAACTCTACAGTTCTCTCTCTGATGCACTAATAATATTGATTTCACAGAAAATAAAATTGTTAAGACTTCCTTTTCCTAGTCACATGTAAATAAATAACATGTGGAACTATCAATAAAGGTACTCAGTACTGTTCTAAGCTAAAATGCAAAAGAGCTTTAAAGGTGCTGCACTTAATTTCATTGAAGTAAATTGTAACTTTTCCCTATAAACTCATTGTGAAATGCTAGTAACACTTTCTAGCATACAGATCTTTAAACAGGATGAACTTAGAAATTCTAACAAACTTCATCTCACCTGTTAATGTGGCTACACTTTATGGCCCTGCATAGAGTGAATATGCTGTACTGATTCAGCGCTTGCTTTCATTCCCCAAGAAATCACATTAATATTCTTTAACACCCCAGCAGATGCACCACTTCAAGTGATTACAGTTCGCTGTTGGAATTCTTGTCATGTTTTGCCTGGTTACAAAAACCTAACTCATCATTTTCAAGACTAATTCTTTCCACTTGTATGGCATCTTTAATCTAAACCTCTTGAAGCAGTTTACAAACATTAATTCTTACAATAAGAGACACAAGGTAATTAGATTGTTCATTTTGCTAATGGGAAAAGGCTATGTTTGCTGCCCCTGACCTCCAATCTATGCCAGAAGAAAACAGGTACTTTGTGTTAAGTGATCAAGAGGTTCATAGTATATTAGTACAAAACTAAAACAGATAACAGAAGTTGATCAGGAAGGGACTGGTGGTTGAGTGGCTCAATATGGCAGCAAACATCTAAAGTAAATGTCATTTAGGTTTCTGACCTGCTCTATTGATCTCTGCAATGAAAGAATGGCATGCATCCCAACCCTGCAATTAAAATGTTTACATAATACACATTTTTATTTGCCTACAATCCCCAAGCCTCCCATGACATTTCATTTTGATATATTCCTACATAAATCATGCAGTCTCATTGGAGCAGTGTTAGAAACTCAAATATGTAAGCTATTTGCCAAATGGCCTCTTAAAGCTAGGTTACAGGTGCAACAAAGGAATGCCTAGTCACCATTTTTTCTTCTTCAAGATTACAAAGCAAAAAATGAATTTTGTATATTGTCAACGTTTTAATATATTTTACAATTCAGTCACACATTTTACCAATTACAGTAATCTTATTTTTTGAAATGTGAATTAATGCATAATTCACATCAGTGACACATTTTTAATATCACATTTTAAATACCAATTGTTTACTGGATACCACATAAATAAATGGGGCTCAGCCACAGCAATAGTGGCCAACAATAAGTATTTATAAATACCAGTATGTATATCTATATATACTCTTAACCCAATATGTCGCAGCTTCAGCAAGGACTGCAGTCACAGTTAAATTTAATCAAAATTATTGGAAGAATGGGCCTAACAGCACAATTCTAATCATTTCTAAATAGAAATAGATGTTACTGAATTCAACAACGCTTACTCTCAGGCAAATGGGATTGTGAGTCATTATTTTTTGAGCAGTCTCTCCAGCAGCAGGCTTATGATTTGCAAGATAACAGTGGAAAACTAACTATGTAAATGTTAATTCATTTTGCAGACCTTCCTTTTAATATCCAGAATTTGAGAATCTCTTAAAACATAAAAAGATTAATGTAAGCACTACCCTCTCTCTCTCCCTTGATGGCTGCCATGTCCACTAAGTAATTTTTTTGTGTAAATACAACGAATGGGGCTCCAGTATTAGGTATTCATCACAATAAAACAACAAGATGTCAGTCCTATGACACTGTAGCCTAAGCGAAACAAACATTTGTAGCTTACAGTTGCCTTCATCAGATGCAGTCTGACAAAGTGGGCTGCTTAAGTCTTTAAAATGCCATAGTACTGTATTAATTTGCGAGAAAGGCTGGTATACAAACTTAATATAAATTTATATAATGTAATATAACTTGACTATCCCTCAAAATGCCCATTTTGTATTTACGCTTTTCCATCAGCTTATCAGCTGTGACAGAAAGGTATGTAACATGTTCTAGGTAACTTTCTGGGTATAGGAATGCCATCTTTTTCCTGGCGAGCACCTGTGGCTGCAGCATATGTAGATCAGGTATAAATTCAACTGGTGATGCTTATTTTATCACCATATGTCTGAAATGGGGAGGTTCCAGCAATTGGACCTCTGCCTGTCATCAAGCTGTCACAGGTACAGAAATCCTGTCATTAATATGTTGCAACTGGGTAGGAGCTTGTTTCTCAATTAAGAACAAAACCAGTTGCTTTAATATATTTAACTATGTTAAATGTCAAAATAAAAAAATCCTTCCTGTAGCACCTTAAAGACCAACTAAGTTAGTTCTTGGTATAAGCTTTCGTGTGCATGCACACTTCTTCAGATACACATATGTTAAATGTGTAGGAGGAAGAAAACAGAAGTGCAAAACTGGACTGCAGAATAGAAGAACTGGCTTCAGAAATGGGTTGGGCAGGTGAAAGCAAGCTTAGTAACTGAATGGTGTAAAAGGCAAAATATTTGTATGAGAAACCAGAGGGTTGGTGTTGTGGTGTATTTATTGTAATTAACTATGTTTTAATAGATTATATAGATATGCTGTTCTACTTATATTATTGTTTAATTGCTTTCTAATGATTGCTCCCCCCCCCCTGTTTTTAGCTGTTTCTATTTTATCTGTAAGTCACTCTGGAGTTCCTATCTGGGGGGAAAAGCAGGATATAAACATATAACAAAACTTACATCTATCTGGCCACTGGAGCAAATACCAAAGCCTCACAAGCCAATCCTGTTAAGAACCGGCGCTATATATCTCTAGTTAACAAAGCGAAAGAACATTTCCACTTTTCTTCTCGCCTATCTGCACAAATCAGTGTGCCCCGCGGCACGATGGGTTGACAGGTGTAAGCACCCTATAGAAATACTCTTTTATGTTTCCATGAAGTCGTGGAAATTCGCATAAGGAACTGCCAACACCAGAAACCCCAAATGGAGAAGGTGCCCAGATGCTCACAACGCTCATTGGTCAGAACAGGGTGGTGAAGTTGGAAAGAACAGCCCCCCCAACCCCCCCCCCAGCACCAGTTTGGGCGTAGGGCAGGAATAGGCAACCTAATGCATCTCTGGGTTATTTGTGGGGCATAGGAATTCGTTCATCCCCCCCCCAAAAAAAAAATACAGTCCGGCCCCCCACATGGTCTTAGGGATAGTGGACCGGCCCAGGGCTGGAAAAGGTTGCTGACCCCTGGAATAAGCAATGGTCAGCAGCTGCAAGAGACAAGCCCTGAATGTTGGTGCTTGATAGGTATGTGAGCACAGGTGACCATGAGAGCGCATGAGAGAGAAGGGCTCTCCTAGTGTCCTCCCCTCAGACTCCTTTCCCCTGTTGGGGGAGAACATAGAGCAACGGAGACAACTGTGTGGGAGGTTGCTATGGCACTCCCTGTGCAGTGGTGGTTTGTGCTGCTCAGACTGTCTTCCTGCAATACCAAAAGCACCATGACTGTGTCCTCCGCGCCTTGCTGCTTGTTTGCTGGCCTCCTGTACCTTTTTTAAGCTGCAGGGTGCAAATCAACTAACATTTTGCTTGCTTTCTGATTCACTCTCTCTGTAGCTCATCTCAGCCATCTTCCAGGTAGGCTTCTCCATGAATGACTTGTCCACTACCTCATCCCAGCAGGGCTCGGGGTCTGCTCTCAGCCCCTCTGAGCTTCCGCAAGGGCAGATGCCAGCCTCCCTCACACTGCAGGCATAATGGACACACACCATCCCAACCTCCAAGCAGGGGAAGATTCCAGGACTTCCAGGCACATACCCAGGGTTTGCGTTCCCCTTGGAATTGGGGACAGTGGAGTACAATGTGTACTGTGGTAAAAGGTAAAGGTACCCCTGCCCGTACGGGCCAGTCTTGACAGACTCTAGGGTTGTGCGCCCATCTCACTCAAGAGGCCGGGGGCCAGCGCTGTCCAGAGACACTTCCGGGTCACGTGGCCAGCGTGACATCGCTGCTCTGGCGAGCCAGAGCCACACACGGAAACGCCGTTTACCTTCCCGCTAGTAAGCGGTCCCTATTTATCTACTTGCACCTGGGGGTGCTTTCGAACTGCTAGGTTGGCAGGCGCTGGGACCGAGCAGCGGGAGCGCACCCCGCCGCGGGGATTCGAACCGCCGACCTTTCGATCGGCAAGCCCTAGGCACTGAGGCTTTTACCCACAGCGCCACCCGCGTCCCTCATGTGTACTGTGGTACCTCAGGTTAAGTACTTAATTTGTTCCGGAGGTCCGTTCTTAACCTGAAACTATTCTTAACCTTAAGCACCACTTTAGCTAATGGGGCCTCCTGCTGCCACCGAAGCACGATTTTTATTCTCATCCTGAAGCAAAGTTCTGAAGCAAAGAGCCAGTGTGGTGTAGTGGTTAAGAGTGGTGGACTTGTAATCTGGGGAACCGGGTTCGAGTCTCCGCTCCTCCACATGCAGCTGCTGGGTGACCTTGGACTAGTCACACTTCTGGAAGTCCCTCAGCCCCACTCACCTCACAGAGTGTTTGTTGTGGGGGAGGAAGGGAAAGGAGAATGTTAGCCGCTTTGAGACTCCTTCGGGTAGTGATAAAGCGGGAGATATCAAATCCAAACTCTTCTTCTTCTTCTTCTTAACCTGAAGCACTATTTCTGGGTTAGCGGAGTCTGTAACCTGAAGCTTATGTAACCTGAAGTGTATGTAACCCGAGGTACTATTGTACTCTTATTCAAAATGCATCTCGGGGTTATTTGTGGGGCACAGGAATTCGTTCTTTTTCTTCTTCTTCTTTTTTTCAAAATACAGTCCGGCCCCCCACATGGTCTGAGGGACGGTGGACCGGCCCACGGCTGGAAAAGGTTGCTGACCCCTGGCATAGGGTAGGGGGGTCTCCGCACAGGCCCTGCACTCCTTTCTCTCTCCCTTCTGAGGAGCTGGGCTTCCTCCCATGTGACTTTTGGGAGATGGGGGGGGGAGGTTCCCTTTTCGAAAGGGCTTCAGTTTAACGGCCAACCGGCCGCCTGAGTCGAAGACGCTGGTTCTCGCCCCTCGAGCACCAGCGGGGTCTGCAAGGGTTGACGGCGGGTCCTGCGCCCGCCAAAAAGGACGAGGCGCGACAGAGAAAGGAAGGCCAGGACGAGGCCTCCCTACTGCGCAGGCGCGGCGGAGGGACGTCGCCATGGCGACAGCCGGGCGCTCGAGCGGGCGCCCAACGCCCGCTAGGCCGCAGGGTGCGTGCGCACGCCGCTGAGCCACCCCCTCACCGTATCCGACTCTGTCCACTCACCAGCCCCTCGTTCGTGCCGGGCCCGCCGCCGCTGACGCCCTTGTACTCGGCGTAGCGAAGGCGCTCTCCCTCCGAGGCGCCCTTCGCGCTCCCCATCGCGGACAGGCAAAGCGAAATGGAGAAAGCGGCGGCTACGGGGCGCCGCGAGGGACAAACTCGGAGCGCCTCTCTTCGCTTTTGCCCTCCCATGGACGGGGAAGCTGCACTGAGCATGCGCGAAGTCCGTCAGCCGCCTCGAGCCCCTGCTGGGAAAAAGGCGGCGTGTAAATGAAATACGCAGTCGAAACAAAATTTAAAAATTCCAGTAGCACCTTAGAGATCAACTAAGTTTGTTATTGGTATGAGCTTCCATGTGCATGCACACTTCTTCAGATACACATTTTGTGTGCATGCACACAAAAGCTCATACCAATAACAAACTTAGTTGCTCTCTAAGGTGCTACTGGAAGGAATTTTTTTTATTTTGTTTCGACTATGGCAGAGCAACTCGGCTACCTACCTGTAATGAAATACATAGTTATCTTGGGGATTTTAGCACTCTGGGTTAGCTGCTGGCAACCCTACAAAAGAGATGCAAGAAATGAATTAAGTCATTCTGCTTTAGGTGCTTAGCATGGGACTGATAAATGCTCACTCTGTTTTTCAGGAGGCGTTCACACGGTATCAAATCTGTGTTCTGGATTTTCCTGGTGTTTCTTCCCCTACCCCCCTGTAATGACCCAGCTCGAAAAGGCCTACCATGAAGGCTAGGGGACCCTTCTGAGGTGTAGGACAACCCTGCCATCTTGCTAGACACCTCCCAGTCTGCTGAGTTTACCTTAAACACCTATTTACTTCTGATCCAAAGCAAACCTTGTCTTTTTAATGATGTAATGGACAAAAATCGAGTAAGCACACTTAAATTAACAAATGCTTTCAAACTAATTAAATCATCACTGAATGGTCAGGTGAATTTACCCTTCCCCCTCACCACCACAGAAGTTCATGTCATGCCACTGGTATGAATGGAATATCGCAAGAAGTTCGCACAATACCTCCCAAGATTGTGGAAAGCATCATACAGTTTTACCTGAAGAGCAATTATTGGATAATGCCGGGAGCCACTCATTGACAGAAACTTCCAAACAGAATGTTGGGCTCTGGGAAGGCGGCAGTTGGGACAGGTGAGCCAGAGCGGCTCAGTGATGTGCTTTGTATGTTGCCAAATCTGGCAGCAACCTGTGGACTGCTTGTATATAAGTGTAATAGATGTCGAGTAAAAGGCCTCAGCATCGGTTGGTGCCTTTGCACACAAAAACAAAGAAAGACACCAACGTGAAGAAAGGCCACAAAATGGGGTGAGTTTTTACTTGCCACACAAATGCCAACACAAGAAAAGAACCCATGAGTGTGTTGTGTTTATGATAAAGGCTTAGGCGCATGCCTCCCTCAGTATGCAATGCAGAGTCCAAAAATTTCCCTTGGCTCAATTCAGAAAGACTCGATGCTACAAACTTTATTGACATTTCTCAGGGAGAGCAGCTTTCAAGAGTTCTCACCTGGGTTGCAGAGACCCTACCTAACCTTTGGGATGGATTCAACTGACCGGTCCCACACCAAGACTTCAGCTAGTGCAACAGGACTTCTCCCCCTGGTGCCCCCAAATTGTCTTAAAGGTAAATGTAAAGGAACCCCTCACTATTAGGTCTAGTCGTGACCGACTCTGGGGTTGTGGCGCTCATCTCGCTTTATTGGCCGAGGGAGCCGGCATACAGCTTCCGGGTCATGTGGCCAGCATGACTAAGCCGCTTCTGGCGAACCAGAGCAGCACACGGAAACGCCGTTTACCTTCCCGTCGGAGCGGTGCCTATTTATCTACTTGCACTTTGACATGCTTTCAAACTGCTAGGTTGGCAGGAGCTGGGACCGAGCACCGGGAGCTCACCCTGTTGCGGGGATTCGAACCGCCGACCTTCTGATCGGCAAGTCCTAGGCTCTGTGGTTTAACCCACAGTGCCACCCGCGTCCCTCAAATTGTCTTAGGGGGAGATTATTATGTTGGGCAAGCTCAACTGGGAAACATTTGGGAAAGCGTGGTGTTGAATTCTTCCCCTTGACACCTGAGATGTATATTTTTAGGACCCACTCAAGTTGGGATTGTAATTTGTTTTATACTGCTTTTTATTGTTGTATTTTACATTGTTGGGAACCACCCTGGGATCTTCTGGGTGCATTTGCCCTGCACCCACCCCACAGTGCCTGCCGTTGTGTGTACTGTTGTACCTCCTTTTGCGTCCCGGATCCCGACGAAAGGGACGCTCGACAAAGTGCCGCTCTGCGCATGCACGAAGCACGATTGGCCGACCCGAAGTAACCTGTTCTGGTACTTCCGGGTTTGCCACGGACGTTGGACGAAATGGACCCTAAACAGGGCGGACTCAAAATGAGGTACCACTGTAGAGCCATCTGGATTTTAGATCTGGATGGTAGACAACATCCATGTAAAATGCCTGCAGCAAACAAGAGAAATCACTAGCCCAAATATAGAGAAGAAATGTAGAGAAGAAAAGAGTGGTTGGGGAAACCCAGCCAGATGGGCGGGGTATAAATAATAATGATGATAATGATGATGATAATAATAATAATAATAATAATAATAATAATAATAATAATAAAGTCTACTTGGTTGTATGTGTTGTTTGCACAGCTCATAGCCATTGAGTTTTATTTAGAACAAGGGGCTAATATGAGTTTGCGCCTGAAAAGGGAACATATTTCAGAGGCCATTTTCTGTTCTACCTCTCTTTTAAGTCAGAACCAGTGAAGGCGGTGAAGGTCCTGTGTGAGTGTCTGGAGGCGGTTGGAGGATGGATGGCGGATAACAGATTGAGGTTGAATCCTGACAAGACAGAAGTACTGTTTTTGGGGGACAGGAGGCAGGCAGGTGTGGAGGATTCCCTGGTCCTAAATGGGGTAACTGTGCCCCTGAAGGACCAGGTGCGCAGCCTGGGAGTCATTTTGGACTCACAGCTGTCCATGGAGGCACAGGTCAAATCTGTATCCAGGGCAGCTGTTTACCAGCTCCATCTGGTACGTAGGCTGAGACCCTATCTGCCTGCGGACTGTCTCGCCAGAGTGGTGCATGCTCTGGTTATCTCCCGCTTGGACTACTGCAATGCGCTCTATGTGGGGCTACCTTTGAAGGTGACCCAGAAGCTACCCAGAAACTACAACTAATCCAGAATGCGGCAGCTAGACTGGTGACTGGGAGCGGCCGCCGAGACCATATAACACCGGTCTTGAAAGACCTACATTGGCTCCCAGTACGTTTCCGAGCACAATTCAAAGTGTTGGTGCTGACCTTTAAAGCCCTAAATGGCCTCGGTCCAGTATATCTGAAGGAGCGTCTCCTCCCCCATCGTTCTGCCCGGACACTGAGGTCCAGTTCCGAGGGCCTTCTTGTAGTTCCCTCACTGCGAGAGGCCAAGTTACAGGGAACCAGGCAGAGGGCCTTCTCGGTAGTGGCGCCCGCCCTGTGGAACGCCCTCCCATCAGATGTCAAAGCGATAAACAACTACCTGACATTCAGAAGACATCTGAAGGCAGCCCTGTTCAGGGAAGTTTTTAATATGTGATATTTCAGTGTATTTTTTATCTTTGTTGGAAGCCGCCCAGAGTGGCTATTATGTTATTAGTTTAGTCACTTGAGCACGAGACTCTGAAGCCCTGGGTTGTGGGTGCAAGCCCCACATTGGGCAAAAGACTCCTGCATTGCAGGGGTTTAGACTAGATGGCCCCTCGTAGTCCCTTCCAACTCTACGGTTCTGTGATTCTGAGTTCTGCACGATGATCTACAGAAGAACTCCAGAAATAACTGCTGGGACAAACCATACTTTACAGGTTTGCAGGAGAACATCTAGTGAAAATGGTGCTTAGGAATAAACCTAGCCATTACACGATGGACAGGTTCATAGTCTGAACCAGAACACCTCTAATGTGAAATGAAAAGAACAACGGTATATTTCCCTGACTGAAGAAGCTGTTTTCCCTATTGCCCAACAACCACACCTATTTCTGGATTTATTTGTTACATTTTAATCCTACTCTGTCCTCCCAGGTGTTTAATAATAATAATAATAATAATAATAATAATAATAATAATAATAATAATTTATTATTTATACCCCGCCCATCTGGCTGAGTTTCCCCAGCCACTCTGGGCGGCTCCCAATCAGTGTTAAAAACAGTACAGCGTTACATATTAAAAACTTCCCTGAACAGGGCTGCCTTAAGATGTCTTCTGAATGTCAGGTAGTTATTTATCTCTTTGACATCTGATGGGAGGGCGTTCCACAGGGCGGGCGCCACTACCGAGAATTTTAGGATGGGCATATAGTGTCTTCGCCCCCTTTTAACCCTCAGAACAACATTGTGAGGCTAGGATGAGTAGCCCAAGGTCACTAGGGAATACCTAGATTTCAAATCCTATATTCAATAGGATTCAAGTCCAACAGTTACCCACTACAGCACCACTACTTGTACAACACATTTAGGGTAGGGGATTAGACCCAACAGTAGCAGATTCGTGTGCCAGAATTTGCCCACGGATTACTTATAAAGGGGGTGATTCAAAGGAGAGCTGAATTCTACCCCTGTTGAATTTCTACCCTCCTGCTGCTTCTCTCTGGCTGTCATCTTTTGAGGCTCCAGTTCTGAAAGTAACCCATAGCAGAAGAAAAATGGATAGGGAAAACCAGGTGGAGGGCATGTAAAGCGCTCAGTTGCCCCTTCCTGCCTGCCCAATCTGTGCTTTAAGTTACTTCTCCAACTTTATATGGAATAGGTGCAAACTGCATACCGAAACAAATGCTGTGTACCATCTAGTTTTACCCTTAAGGTCTCCTTTCTTAAGCAGGATTGCCACACACATCGCTCTTCTATGTGGGATGGGAGCCCCCCCCAATAATTATGGGGTTCTGTATGCCAGAAAGAGCAGCAGACCACCATGACTTCTATTTCCATGCCAGAAAAGTCCCCACCATAAATTCTTTCTGTGGTGTGGCTATTAAAAGCACAGGGGGGAAAGACGTCACCTGAATTATTCCAGAGAAATGTGTTTGCATACAGCAGTCTAGAAAATTGCAAGCCGTTTTCAGAGTGCGTTCTGGGACATTCCTATTGACTTCAGCGGGGCCAAACTGTATTTGCTTCAGCAGCAGAAATTATGTGGGTGAACTTCTCCTGGCTGGGAGATAAGTGGAAGGAAAAGACTTGCCTGCTGTGCATCAGGCTGTTGTTAAAGGCACAAAGCAGGCCCAGTGGTTTAACGCTGTGGGTTAAACACAGAGCCTAGGACTTGCTGATCAGAAGGTCGGCGGTTGAATCCCCGTGACGGGGTGAATTTCCATTGCTCGGTCCCTGCTCCTGCCAACCTAGCAGTTCGAAAGCACGTCCAAGTGCAAGTAGATAAATAGGTACCGCTCCGGTGGGAAGGTAAATGACGTTTCCGTGCGCTGCTCTGGTTCACCAGAAGCGGCTTAGTCATGCTGGCCACATGACCCGGAAGCTGTACGCCAGCTCCCTCGGCCAATAAAGCGAGATGAGTGCTGCAAGCCCAGAGTCAGTCACGACTGGACCTAATGGTCAGGGGTTCCCTTTACCTTTTGAGGCCCAGGAAAGCAAAAGGAAAGGCTGGATACCTTGGAGCTGGCAAAGGCCTTACCAGGTAATCATTTCCAGGTTACCTTCCCATACATACTGCCCTGCACAGCTTGGCTCTGGCAAAGTGAATGTCCTTTCACCCGTCATGTCTACTAGGCAGGTTTGCTCACAAGTGCCCCCCAGCATATAGTCCCCCCCTTGATTCTCCCACATTGAGGCTACATTCGTCAACCCACGTCCTAAGGCGCAATGGACCTGCAGAACTCGCACCAGAGGACCGTGCCAACGGGATTGTTCCCTGAGCCGCCACTTGCAACTCACGAGAACGCTGGTCCAAGTCAACAGGCAGTGTGTCTCACTGAGCACAGTGGGGTGCATATGGGGCTCGTCTTGCCCCTCTTGTGCTGGAATTTGGAGAGGCAGAGCTGAGGAAAGTGGCACCTGCCAAGGGGCTGGGCCTTGCTTGCCTCCTCTTTGGGTGGGTGTGGTGGGGAGCCCTCCTTGGCCCCTGAGCTTCCTCTGCGTGGAGGCAGCACGCAGGCCTTACAGCGCCAGCCCAGCCACGCCTGCCCAACAGCGAGTCCTGTTGCATTGCATGGCACTTCTTCTTGTTGTTGTTGTTTAGTCGTTTAGTCGTGTCCGACTCTTCGTGACCCCATGGACCAGAGCACGCCAGGCACTCCTGTCTTCCACTGCC